GGGGGACTCTGCTGGCTCCAGGCAGGCAGCAGGGTGGGGAGCCCCAGCCAGGCCAGCGGCAGGGCAGCCAGCAGGTGAGCACTGACCTCCCCTAATCCGTCAAACTCCCTGGTTCAGGCCCTGAGGGTGCCGGACCAGGGAGGTCCAAGCTGTAGTGGTCAAGAGAGGACTGACGAGCTCCCACAAACGGCCGGGGCAGAGGGGGACTCTGCTGGCTCCAGGCAGGCAGCAGGGTGGGGAGCCCCAGCCAGGCCAGCGGCAGGGCAGCCAGCAGGTGAGCACTGACCTCCCCTAATCCGTCAAACTCCCTGGTTCAGGCCCTGAGGGTGCCGGACCAGGGAGGTCCAAGCTGTAGTGGTCAAGAGAGGACTGACGAGCTCCCACAAACGGCCGGGGCAGACGGAGCCGGTGAGTGGGGAACTCACATCGCTAGCGCTTCTAACAGGTCTAGACGTAGAACATTTTGCGTTTCAGACGTAAAAATCAAAATCTGAAACATGACGGGTTGGAAACGCTGCCAGAGGGCCTGGGACTTGTAGTTCAGGTGCCTCACTCTTATTCCCTTCTAGAGGCCTGGTCCCCTGGTTGGACTACATCTCCCATGAAGCATCAGAGACCCTACCTGATGATTGGAGGGGGGACATCGCATTGCCATGGTGCCTCATGGGAGCTGAAGTCCAGCTAGAGCACCTGTCCCATGGAGGAGGACAGGAGCATGAGGTAACTGAACTACAACTCCCATGAGGCACCACAGCAGCATTTCGGAAGCAAAATATTTGAAATTTTGCAAACTCCAATTTAACCCCCCTCCCCCAAATTTAATTTATTTGAAAAATCAACTTTCCATCAAAAAATTTTGGCTCAAAAACGTTTAAACCAGCCCCACCTAATAGCGAGCACAGCCCTGGCTTCCTGGCGGAGAGGGCGGAAGTTGCTGGGAAGGGAACGGAACCCAGGAGGCCTTACTCGGATGCCCTCCTGGCCCTGAGGTTTATAGCCCCATGTCACTGGATTCCACTCTCAGTTTGGCGACAAGGACATGCAGTCTCGAGAACAGGCCACGGGGGCCGGATTTACAGCAGAGGTTTGGGTCAAATTCTCCCACTGTCGCAGCCCTACATCAGCTGGCCTCTGCTGCATCAGAACACCACAGAGCCAGATTCAGGATCTAAGCACCGCGGGGCTGTATACTACGCGGACCAGCTGAGAAAGGAGGGGAGGAGAGAAAACCTTCCGTGCCAGCCCAAAGGGCAAATAACCTCCGGTGCTCTCACATGAGAAATAATACCTTTCGCTGCAGAAGATTCTCTCCCGGAGGTCTGTGGGGGTGTCGGAATGAACTTTCCAATCGAGGATCGCAAGGAAGTAACAGAGTCTTCTTACCAGCCAGCCCCTATACCTACAGAGAGACTCAGCTAGGTAATTATGGGACCCAACAACACACGATAAATTACATGCATCCTGTCATCCAGGTGCTAATCAGCCCACAGCACACTCCATGTGTAGGTGTCAAAGCACTTTACAAAGGAGGTCAGTAGCATTATCCCCAGGGGGAAACTGAGGCACGGAAAGGGGATGTGTGACCACCCAGAGGCAGAGCTGAGAAATGTCTCCTGTGTCCAAGGTCACTCCTCTACCCATTAGGAAATGCTGCTCCCCGTGGGGCTCAGTCGGTTCCCACTGGGAACCTTTCCTTTGACTCCAATGCTTTAGGTCATGTCCCCTCAGTCACAGTTTCATTTTTTTAACAAGCCCGACCCTTCTTCGTGACACCCTCCCTTTTGGGACTGACTGATGCAGGTTACCGTGTGCTGGAATGAGCCTAACCCAAAAATCGAGGGGTCCCCAAAGACACTTCTGATCACCTGCTCCCTGCCCTGCTGCCTGCCCAGGGCCGAACAGAACAGGGAATCATCCAGTGATCCCCTCCCTGTCGCCCATTCCCAGCTTCCAGCTGCTGCGCCTCATTTTCCAAATCTGTACAATGGGATGATGGTGCTGGGTAAAGTGCCATGAGCTCTAAGGAGGAAAAGAGCAAGGGGGAAGCGAAGCGCGCGGGGACAGACGTGGGCGGTGTCGGGAGGTGATGCTCCCATGCTGAAAAGAGCTAAAAACCCTATTGATTTCGGGATCTGTCGCTCAATCACGGAGGCTTCGGAGCGTCCATCTCGGCATGGAGAACACCCAGGATGTTCCTGCACCGGCAGGGAGATGCCCGGCTACAAAGGGTTTCTGCCAGCTGTTTTCAGGGAAGGCTACGAGACTGAAGGGCTTCAGCAAGACGTTAGCACGTGCAACTCGTGAAATCCCAGGGGCCCAGGTTTCGAGCCACAGGAAAGGCGGGGACCTGGAGAGCGCGGAACCACCGGGAATCCCACAAATGGACAGGAGCTGCAGCGGCCCAGCACCGCTCAAAACCAGGCCGTTCTCCAACACCCGGCACATGGAGAATGAAACGTCACGGGACAAACCATTAGCCGGGATAAATCAGGGTGACTCCAGCAGACCTCCCCTGAAGCCAATGATTGAACGGCCCTACTGGGTCAGACTGGGTCCATCTACCCCAGTGTCCTGTCTGCCAACAGTGGCCAATGCCAGATGCCCCAGAGGGAGCAAACAGAACAGGGACTCATCCAGTAATCCCTCCCCGTCGCCCATTTCCAGCTCCCGGCAGAAGCTAGGGACACCATCCATCCTAGCTAATAGCTATCGATGGACCTAACCTCCATGAATTTATCTAGCTTTTTGAACCCTGTTAAAGTCCTGGCCTTCACAACATCCTCTGGCAAGGAGTTCCGCAGGTTGACTGTGCGTTGTGTGAAGAAAACCTTCCTTTTGTTTGTTTTAAACCTGCTACCTATTAGTTTCACTTGGCGACCCCTAGTTCTTGTGTATTGGAACAAGTAAATCACTTTTCCTTATTTACTTTATCCACACCAGTCATGAGTTTAGAGACCTCTATCATATCTCCCCTTAGTCTTCTCTTTTCTAAGCTGAAAAGTCCCAGTTTTATTAACCTCTCCTCACACAGCAGCCCTTCCATTTTTGTTGCCCTTTTCGGAACTTTTTCCAATGCCATCAGCGGAGGAGCTGGGCGGACGTCACTACTGAAGCACATGGGCGTGCCAGGCAAAGAAACAGAACCACGTCGCTTTTAACATCCATTGTCACCCAAACTGCCAGGGCTAGAAATGGCATGGGCGGGCCCACACAAAACGCTTTGCAAGCACTTCCCTGCGCCCATCCCAGGGAAGCGATCAGAGTGAAAACTCTGTCTCTGAATGCGGCCTTCCACGCCAGGGTGGGGAGCTACACCTCTTGGTAACGACTGACAACTCGCTTGAATCTCTATTCCCCTTTTGCTGCGGCTGGTGCATTAGGCGCGGGGACGGGAATGAATCAAATTCTCTCCTCCCCGCTGTTAATAACACTTCGCCGGTCCGGGCGGCAGCTTTCACAAGGCTTTCCGAACAAGCCTGAAAGCGATTCGGTATTAGCCTCATTAACAAGTGAGGCCAACTTCTGAAGCCTCCCAAACCTCCAGTGGAGTCGGGAAATGACTATTAGTCTCGTCTCCATTCACAGAGAGAATCCCCTGGCTCTAGCTCCTATGGGGGGTCCGTGCAGACCTGGGGGTGGGACGCAGGAGGCCTGGCTGCCTGGGTGGGGCTCACACCCCCAAATCCAGCCTCAGAGACACATGGAAACAAAGTGCCAAGTGTGTGTCCTCCCCCTCCTAAACCTCCCTCCCCCGCCCCATCCAATCCGGCCTCAGAGACACATGGAAACAAAGTGCCAAGTGTGTGTCCTCCCCCTCCTAACCCTCCATCCCCCGCCCCATCCAACACTCTCCCCCGTCCCCCGCCAGTCACATGGTGTTTTCCTCCGTCACCTGGATGGCGCTGTGAAAGCCCAGGGCGGGCAGGTGCCTGTGGAAGGAGGAATGCTGGAAGCAGACAGAGGCGCAGCCATTAGCAGAAACGCCCTGACTCCCCGTGCCCAGCCAGCACCTTCTCCCCCAGGAATTCATTCCTCTGCCAGGGATTCATTCCTCTTGCCCAGCAGCGCCAGGGCTGCCCAGAGGCCAGAATGAAAGCCCATCGGCTTCGGGGCTGGGGAAAGGCAGCAGCTGGGAAGACCCAGCCACCGGCGGGTTCTGTGTAACGGTGGCACAAGCACAGCCTGGCCAGTGCAGGGGGGGCCCGATTCACGACCGCCCCCCACCCATCTGCTCGCCTGGCCCCAATCCAGCAGTGAGATCCGATGGGAGCAGAACCCTCCAACCACCTGCCGGCCTTACCCAGCTCTTGGGGGTGCAGGTCTGACAGCAGCGCCCCACGAACGGGCGGTACTTGCCCAGAAAAGGGGTGACAATCTCCAGCTTCACCCCAAAGCCCAAGGACCAGGTCTTCATCTGGGGGCGAGAGGAGACAAGGCTCGTGGATCCCGGCACCGGAAAGGAACGCTGGCGGCCCATCGCCGGGCCAGGAGGCAGGTTCCTAAATCACTTTGGCCCGGCCTCCACTGCCGCCTAACTGTGAGCGGCGCGGCCTTGGGGGAGGCACCTCGCTACCCCCAAGGGGAGATTGTAGCCCCCCCCCCGCAGAGCGGCATTCAGGAGCGTGTGCTCTGGGCAGGCGCGGTGGCCAGGCTGGCGCTGTGCCCAGCCACAAAGCCTTGTGGTCTGCAGAGCAGGGTCCACGGCAGCCGGCAGGGGCGTCCCCCAACTCCCGCTGGGGACGGTGGGTGGAAATGGCCCGGCCTGGGGTAATTTCTTCCCTGGTCTCACTCAAGACTCAGGCTTTTCCAGCTCCCGCCCCGGCTTATCTGAACAGATCCCTGCTCCCCGCCTCCTCTGGCAACGGGGGCACGGAGAGTCCTAAATCCCCCACCTCCCCCCGGGAAGGTGAACCCGCTGCCGCCGCGCTCTCTCCCACGGATCACGCACGTGTCTCTGGTGCCGCTGG